CTCTTGACAGCCCTAATTTTAACTTTACAGTAGAACTTCAGAGTTACAAACACCTCAGGAATGGAGGTTGTTTATAACTGAAATATTCGTAACTCTGAACAAAATGTTATGGCTGTTCTTTCAAATGTTTACAACTGAATATTGACTTAATACAACTTTGAAACTTTACGATGAAGAAGAAAAATGCTGCTTTCCCTTTATTTTTTAAATAGTTTACATGTAACACAGTTCTGTACTGTATTTGCTTTTTCTTTTTTTGTCTCTGCTGCTGCCTGATTGCATATTTTCATTTCCAAATGATGTGTATGGCTGACTCGTCAGTTTGTGACGCTGATGTTCATAACTCTGAGGTTCTACTGTACCTCTTCATCACAAGCAACCTTTTCTCCCTTCAAATCTTTGTCTTCACATATCACTAAGTATTTTTCTCAAAGGAAGGAGCACAGCGCCTTTTACCCTCTCGCAACCCCAGGGATAGCATCTTGTCTCGCTCTGTGTCAGACAAAGGCTGTTTCAGGGTTCTCTGGGTAACATCCATCCACCTTTTTAATCATCACTCAAATTAGCCAGTACATGAAAACACAGCAGCAGCATATGGCACTGCCTGTACTAACCTTCCTCTCCATCCTACTCCTCACTGCACCAAAGATTTAAACCACAAATTAAATGAGATAATCTATCTGTACATACCATATTAACTACCTCGGTGAGGGGAGGCTTGTCCAAAATATAACTGCCAGGTGAAGTGAAACTGTTTCAAGTTAATAGAGAACTTTAAAGTTAAAGATTTTTTAGGGGTTAAGCCATAGTAGTTGGGGAAAAAATAATACTCACAAAATGAGCATTCTTCGCTCTCTTCTACCCCTGCTCCTCAAAACACCAACGCCTTCCCTCCTGCCCCACATACAGGCAAACCCACAGATATATTTCCATCAGCAAGATATACTTGAGAGCTTATAGAAAGGATGTAGGGTCATTCCTTCTCCACTTTGCATTGCAGTAGATCTTTTCTTAACAAGCCACTGATCCAGTTCCAGTGCAGTGAAAACCGCGTGATCTGCCTTTCTCCACTAAGCAACCCCTTATCTTAAACCATCACTTTACTTTAAAGTATTCCCAATGTGTCTTGTACTATTTTGTTTGACCTTTCGCTAAAGATTCCACCTGCTCGGCAAATGTTTTCGCTACCCCCTTAGGGAGGTTACTTGAGAGCAACCCCGTTTCCTGTTACTTTTAAAAATACAGTAGTCTTACTGCAGTTTTTATCATTCTTATTACAGTAACGTTTTGTTTATTTAAAGACAACAGGAATCAGGATCCCGTTTGCAATTAAATTAAAGCAGAGGTTTCTCATTTCTATGGTTTAAAACTGACTTGCTAACATCTCAAGTTGATTTGAAGTTGGATCCTGTTGTACAATTCAAACCTTTTTGGATACTAAGCGCTTTTCCAGAAATCACATCTAAACACCTGAAAGCTAAACTAGCACGAAGTATGAAAGGTGCCCTGGTCATACAGAATAAAAGGCCAATAAAATAACCAAGTAAGATTCTTAAATAACTTTAGTTAAACAACGTGGAAATGCCAAATTTTGCCAACAACTGAAATAAAAAACAAGTTTGCTTTTTATAGTCACAGTAATGTACAACATAGCAACTGTATATACACAGGTATGTACACAGATTTTTCCAGTACTTTGCTGAGTGCAGTCCTTCAGACTGACCTATATAATTTTATAAAGAAGGGAAAAATACAAAGGGCAAGAACAATCCAGTTAATGGGATTTTCACAGGTTCACAGGGTGTTATTTTAATGCCTCTAAGCTACTTAGGTTTTATATATATATTGCAACAAAAGGTAGAAGATTCCTTAGTGAAGGTGTCAAAGAAACTTTAGTTATGGAATTGGTCAGGAAAAAGTATCATTGTGAATACATTTACCTACCTGGCAGTACTTCATATAAGCATCAAGGCTCTACACAATGATTTAGCTGGACAGGCCTGAACTAAAACCCTGAAAAAGTTCCAAGCTCAAAGGTTTTTTTGGGGGGCAATTCAGTTCTGGATCTGAATTTTGAGTTCATGCCCACCTGTAATTTGAATCCCCAGGATTCTAGTTGATCTGTGTGTCATTATGGAGGCTGGATATTTTCCTAGACTGTCAGTGTAGGGATGAAGGAGGGTTTACAGCAGCCAGAAGGAAGGTACCTCCGTACTCACCTGAACCCCTTGAGCTTCTAGCATGTATTTGGGTACCTCTGGTAACATTCACTGGGGGCATTGCCATGTTCTGGAGCTTAGAAAGGACTGAGGAGGTTGATGGAGTCCTTACATGGCGAAAGGGAAGTGGGGAAGCAGGAGTCCTGCTGTGGGAAGAGGAAGGTAGCATGCAAGAATACATTAACTAGAGCTGTTGCATAGCTTTTTGTTGGAAAATGCCAATTTGCTGAAACAACAATTTTTTGCAGGAAAGGGACACTTTTTGTCAGGAAAGTTTCTTGGGTCTACAATAGAACTGAGAGAGAGAGAGAGAGGGAGGCCCTAGCAAGTAGGGCACTTAACAGGGATGTGGTAGATCTCGGCTCAAGACTTTGCTCTACCTGGTTGGGAGAAGGGACTTGAAGCTGGGTCTCCTGCGTCCCAGGTGAGTGCCCTGACCACTGACCTACAGTCAATTGTGTGTCTCTGACCGCATGAATATTTAATTACAAGTGGAACATCCCCAGCAGGAGCCCATGACCCACCACAGAATAACCAATATCCTTATGGCTAGGGCACTCTGCAGAGATTGGATGGGGCACAGAGAATGAAGGCTACACTGTAAGAGACAGAAAGAGCACAAAGGCAGCAGCTGGACAGATGTCCTAATCTGTCCCTCCCCCGAGGTTTGTTCACCCCAAGAATTCTCCATCCTCCTCAGGCTGCCCAGTCCCATTCACTCCCCTCCTCTAGATCTCCCAACTCCTCCCCTTGTACCCCAGCTGGCCTGGATGTCCCAACCTCTCTGCCTACCTGCTTTTAGGGATTGTATATGGGGGGGTTACTAAGGAGAGGATAAGCTTCTGCCTCCTCCCACACCTGCTCCCACATCATGGGATGAAGGAGATAGACCCTGAAGGGGAAATAGTGATTTATTCTTATAATCAAGAAATGGCATGCACTGAACTGCACTTGGCTGCTTAGGGAATTGACTGATCTCCTGAAATTTTAGTCTGTAAAATACTTGGCAATGGATCTGCCTTAAATCAGGAAAATAAGTAACTCATGTACTCTGAAATATAATTATTACCTCTGGGAAATGTGTGCTTTTAATGTTCCACAGGGTGTATGTTCTTTTCTAGCAATGTAAACAGCGAAGCTACTGTTGCCTCGACAACACCCTGGCCTTCCACCATTTTCTTATGTTTTTGTATATGCCATGTAAAATTCATCTCATTTTAATCTCCCCTTTTCTACCAATAGGGAATTTTCTTTTCTTTGAGCCTGAGTCTGGGCATAACACAAATCTCTCAGGAGATTTCTTTTGTTCCTAACCTCTCATATTATGTAGGCTTTTCTGGTTTATCAACCAAACCTCTGTTGAGGTGAGTTATTGCCCTATTTGTCCACTATCTCCACAATGTCCATCAAAAGAACACTGCTCTGAAAACAGCATCAAGTCCAGGTCATCTGCTACATTTATGGACAGCAGAAAAAGAAAAAGAACCAGGTTAATAATTTACCAAGAGGACTGTGCACTGAGAATGGTAAAGAGAGGAATATATCATACCACCTTTCCAAGACAGCGTAAAGAAAAGGAATTGCTGACAAGAAACTGGATTTATTCCCTGGTTTAAAATCTAATTTCTATCCTCATGGCTTCCACTAATCCACCTAAAAGAAGAAAGATTAGTTTGAAAAAGTGAAAGGTCTTTTAATAAGTAAGTCTGTGTTATTCTTTTTAAATCACTTTCTCATTTTTCAGACTAACTTGATGGTGTACTTGATAGGGAAAATGAATGGAGCAGGAAATGTTTTCAATCTGTTTGGCCCGAGGAGCAAAGACACCACATAATGTGTGCTCTCACATAGTTATTATCAGTCAAAAAGAGCAGATTTAGAGAGACTGATGTTCTTTAGAAGATCCATAAACACCCAACATTCACTGATGATTCTAAGCTAGTCTCCAGAGATACAATGGAGGAGGTGCAACTCAGTGAATTGTAGGTTGACTTGAGGACTCACCTTCTAAGAAAGACAAAATTGTGTGAAAGGCAATGGTGGTGGCTATGCACAGAGGTTAGAGGGAGATGAGGAAGAGGGAATGTTTAGCAAGGTCCCATTTTTGGACAGGACTAGTATTCAAAGAACACTACTAAGCAGCAGTCTTCCATGCATATCCAAGTGCAAAATTTATCCCTTGGTGGAGATTGGGTAAATTGTGATGCAGCAGCATCCACAGTGTCCATATTTTCTGTGTATTCAAAATATGTATACATATTACTTATTTACTATTGTAAATATATATGTAAACACAAACTTTAAATTGAAAAACCCGATAGCTCCACAGTGCATTTACTGGATGCGTTCAGCCCAGACACAATTACAGAGGAAAAACATTAAGCATCAGCACAGAGCACATTTTGTTGAAAAACATCTGACTCTACCTCTGATCTCAGTGTGTTGTACATACCATTTCTATTTGTAAAACGTAGTTGCTTCTGAGGGAGCTAATTCTGCTGCCTCCCTGCTCTTCCTCAGCTGCAAAGAAACTACTTCCACGGTACTAGTCAAGCGGTGACATTTAACCATGTGCTTAGGCCCTGATGCAGCAAAGCACTTACGTCACTGTCAAAAAGAAATCAAGTTAAAATGGACTTGGTGTCCAGTTCAGTGTCCTTCATAAGTTTGTGATGCCTACCGCTGTAATACCTACCAATGAACATTAGCTATGAATTTTAGACAATGTATGTTGGCTTCTGCTCATGTTTACATTAAAAGGATATTTAAAAATGTACTTACCTGCTTTATAGCACATAGCAGCTTCCCATAAGAGTAAACAATAATGAAAAAAGGAATTACAAGGCAAAAGATGAAGAGACATATGATGTACGATATATTGTTAGCATCCCTTGAATGCCAGTTTATTGAACATGTTGTCCCTGGTCCTTCCGGTCCATAACTACTCCATCCAAAAAGGGGTGGTAAGGTCCAGAATAAAGAGTACATCCATGACAAGAAGATTCCCATCCATATTTTCCTATAGTTTGTGGCATCTGCTTCTGTAGTTCCCATCATTGTACAATAGCGTTCATAAGAGAGCACAGCCAAAGATATAAGTGAAACTGTACCTGTAATAAAATATATGTATTTTTATTACCAAAAACATCTGAATGAACATTTAATTTTTGCTGGTATATATTGTCACAAAAGGTATTAAATCAGAAATCATGGACTAAATTAAAGATGAGGTTGAATCCCAATGTTTTCTGGATCAACATTCTCCAAGAACTGGGAGTATTCTGATTTAATCTGGCCAATTGTAATTAGGAGCCAGCAGTGGAGTTTGGATCCAGATCCACATAGTCTGAGATGTTCAAACAAGTACCTGACTAATATAAACATATACTTTTTTTTTTTAGTGAGCAGGGATTCTAAAATTTTCAGTCTCTGTAAGAATCAAGGCTATAAAACTTCTACGTTTCAATTTTTGTACAGTCACTAGGATTTAAATCCTGATCCCGTGTAAGACAATAAGAACTCAGAAGCCATTATGATGGGTGACATAAAAATGTAGACAGACAGATTTTGTCATTAACTGCAGTGGAAGCAAGATCAGATCCCTAAGGTCTGAAATTTCAGCTCTTGGCCATGATTTGTGCCTGCACATAATAAAGCCCGCACTTTCAAGTGTAGTTTTTTACCTACAGAGTAAATCCTAAAATATTACTCAAGACACATCATGATGTGTATGCAGGTACTAGGATTTGCACTTATGGACCTCAAAGGGGCAAAACCAATTGTGTTCACATCATTGCAGGCTGTCTACATAAAAGTTTATAGTCCCAAGGTATTAATAAGATCAGTCTCTTCAAAAAACCCAGAAGCATATAATGATCCCCAAAAGTGTATGAACAAAGCCTTGAAGAGAGACAGTTTTTAATCCTTGAATTGTCTGCCTTTGTTTTTGATGGCATTTCAGAGGTAACAGAAGTGAAAAAAGGATGCATCCTACATCTCTCCTTCATGGGTGAAGTTCTGAACTAGTTAATAAATCACTCTTAAGAGGGGGGAAGCCTCTAAAATGTCATAGCACTGACAGCTGAAGAACGGACAGATTGGTCATGTTAGTGAGTGTAACGTTTCAATATATACACACCCCATGAAGCTGTCTCTCTCCTTTGGAAAGAGAGCTTAGTGGTTATGGAGAGTGTCAGATGGATGGCACTTGAAAATTAAGTCCTCTATTTATCTGGCATTGTTGGAGACAAGGACATTTGCTCAAAGTGAGCAAAAGAAAATAGATTAATGATGGGGTGTTGTCTGGGCACCCACATTTGAAATGCTAACCCCACTCCCCTACTATGTGTCTGATCTTCAGGACATTTGCATAGCAGCCAATGGGGGTCAGAGCATGGAAAATTCCCAACAGAAGAAGAGAAACAGAAAAGGTGGCAGAGATTGCTTTTAAATGTGATGTTCTTCAGCCAAGAGCGGCTGTTCCCTCACCAGAGGAATCCCCACTGGAGGAGTAGAGCCAGAGGGGCTCCCTCCAAGGACATTGACCAAATTAAAAATATTCTCAGGAGTGCTGAGGGCTCTGAGGGGGAATTGCACTGGGGAGTTGGTCATTCTGTATAGATGACTCTATTGTGCAGTCTAAACATCAAAGAGTGTGTGTTTAAGAAGTTCCTGTAAAAAAGCCTGTTTTTCTTGCTTTAAAATGGTATGTGGTCCCTGAGGGGTTCAACTCTAAATCAGAGTGATCACAGTGGGTCTCTGAAAGAGTGTAAATCAGAGGCTTGGGAGGTCTCAGCACTGGATTTGGGGCTTAAGACAGTTAAACTGTGGGGGTCCCTCTTCCCGCAAAGGGTTCCAGATCAAGAGGTCTGACCTCGGGAAAGTGCCTTAGGAGCCTCACAGACAGAAGCAGTGACTGGACTCTGCCCAGATGCAGATGGCTAGCGATCTGCCACTAGGGGGACTTTGCCAGGTCTGTGACCCATTCTGTTAGGGCCTGATCTAAAACCCACTGAGGTGAAGAGATCTTTTTCTATTGACTTCAATGGACTTTGGATAAGGCCTTTAAAAACAATGTTTAAGATCCCAAATCATTAACATTTTTCCCTTTATCTCTTAGATTCTATTTTACGGGAAAGGCCCATATAAGTACCTCCACCTTTTCTACTTTGCAATGCCTTTTGATTTCAGTGGGTACTCTGCATGTAGAATAGCTGCACAATCAGAGCCTAGACTGTCAACAAAAGACAACGTGAAATAGATGGGTGATTGAAGCTAATGCACTTTAAAGCTCTGCTCTGATTGAAATAAGCACTAGGACATTTTTATATATCTATGCCTTGATATCAGATTAAGCAAGCAGATGGAGCAGATGTGGCTTTGATTTAAATATATCTTTTAGTGGAAATAAAACGAACGGCATGACTGTGATCACACAAACAGCAATAGAAAATTATCCTCTCATTTTGTAAAATACCAGTCTGAAAATTTTGTCTTCTAGCTTCTGCTTTGTATAAAAGATCAACTGGTTTTTATTCAGCTGTTTTATGCCATGCTTCAGTTTACACTTTTGTAGGCATTTTTAAGCAGCCATGAAGCACAGAGGCTAACTCTGTTGATCCATAAACCTCCTAAAGAGATGCATAACATGTGTCATACTGAGTCTCTCACTCTCAGCTTGAAAGTGTCTAACATCAACTCCACCAACTTCTGAGATGAAAAAGGAAAACACAGAAATGTGTGTGTTTGGAAATTCTCTCCAGGCCTGAGGCTCCCCTGCCTTACACCTTCTATAGTCATTTACACCTGGGAAAAGTAAGCATCAGATACTACCACCTACTTAACAGAGCAGAGAATTTTGTGTTGGTAGCGTTCCCCCATTCCCCCCACTTTGCACGAGATGTCAAGCAGTGATGATTTAAGTCCACTATCTACAATACCTCAGATATGTACGAGCACAGTACTACCTGCATACTCAGTCTCTTTCTAGCTGGGATATCATTCCCCAGATAACTTCTCAAGAAGTCCATACTTTCTGGGACTGTCTGCAGAGAACCAGCTAATCAATGTTAAAACCCTCCCTGCCTCCAATAGGTGGAATCCTCGTGCTTTATTGTAAAAAATATAGAATTCTAGATTTGTTTCTCCCAATGCTGAATTAACACTATTACAAGCTGTGGTATCTGGGGTCATTATTGCCGAACATGCTAGCTGAGTACTCTCTTACTCCATAGAAGCACAGCTGTCACTTAGCCTGCACATGGATAAAAATATTCCAGTGTTCAAAGATGTCCAGATGTTTGGAAAGTAACTGCAACATGGTTGATGCATAGGTCCAAAACTACAATAAGTAGTAATACTCAGCACAGTTCCCCCTGTGGTGGGGGTAATCTTTGCAGCTTCTCAGTCCAAATTTACCTTAAAGCTCTTGGTCAACACAGAGTTTATAAATACATATATAACTTCAATATCCCCAACATGGATAAAGGAGATCTTACAAAAACATGATGTGACCCTTAAATAACAAGAAAATAAACATGGACTTCGAAGAAAAAAGATACAAGCAGATAAAATATATTCCAGTATATATATGGATTTCCCAAAGCCTTGGTATACTCCTGGCAGCTGTAACACATACTCTGCCCAGGACGTCGCTGAAAGCTGTTTAGAGCTTTGCTTGCTTGAACTTTCTGATAGATGTACAAGGAGAGAACTATCTCTGTCTGAGTACTCTCAAAATGTGACATAGGACTTTGCTCACAGCCCTACCCCACTCAGAGTGGACACTTGGACTTCCTTGGTATATACTATAAGAGAAGCAGCAAACAGCCTCTCTAGAATCAATCTCAGCATACAGAACAGAGAAATAGTATCTTATCTCTTAATACATCTTTTGCAGCACAGACAGGTGAGTGAACAGGGTGAGAATACATTATGACTCTGGAAATCGTCAATGAAGTAATTTTAATTCAAAGGAACCTAGAGGGGTTAGAAAAATGCAGAAAATAGCAGAATGAGATTGAACTTGGAAAAATGCAAGGTTCTACATGTGGGAGGACACAAACACAGATGGAAGGAGGGAGATCCTGGAAAGCAGTAATGCTGAAAGAAACACAAAATAATAATGGACATCTTGTTGAAAACTATCTGTAATGTGATTTGGTAGCACTGAAAGGACAATGTAGTTTATGGTTGCATGTTGTCTTCAATGGGAGTAGAGTTAGGCCAACACTGAGTGCTTTGGAGACCTTGGCCCATAAATCCCATCATCTGCATGCCCAGAAAATGTGTATGTATGCACAATGGTACACCTACAAGTGGAGCCCAGGTTGGCACCATTTGGAAATCAGGCCCAAAAGAAAATATTTCGCTAAACTGTTATTCCAAGAAAAGCATATGGCTACCACTTGCTGCTCTTTTCACTGAAGACTTTGGCTACCCACCATGTCTGTTCTCAAATCCAATCTAGTTTTACAGGACAAGATACGCAAGATTGGCATCAGAAAACATGGATTAAAAAATACCTTAATCTCACCATTTACACTACCAATTCCAGTCTTTCAGAAATAGATTTTGTTTGTTTTTCTTTTGCCAATAAGCTTGAGGTTTCTTTATTTCAAATTAAGTTTTTGGCCTTTCTAATACGCTTAGGGCTTAAAACATTAACATTATTCCTATATACTCTGGATATGTATAGAAACTTTGAGACCTACACAAACTTCCAAACTTTAGGAGTGTCACTGGTATTTACTGAACAGTCTAAATTGTCCTGATTTGTGTTTTTCTACTACATTGTTTTTGCTGGACAGGAAATTCATTCCCTGTCTCTTTCCCCTACTGGTCACTTCTTTGGTCTCTCTGGAGAACTCTTTTCCATGGTCATATTTTGGATGGAATGATGGAATACAAATAATGACTGATGAAAATACAAAAATCTCTGCAGAATTTTCACAGGCTGTATGCTCTCCATACCTCTTTCAAACTTTTCCTAAAGATATTTTACACGTAATCATGTCTTGCTGGCTGTAATAACTATTTTTCATGGTTTCACGGGTGATTGTCTGCTATGACTCATCAGCTCAGCCATTACTTGCAGGTCACCTCAAAGCTT